CAAGGGGAGACCTTAGAGCAGCTCCAGTGCCTAAAGGGGCTCCAGGAAACCTGGAGAGGGGCTTTGGACAAGGGCCTGTAGGGACAGGACAAGGAGAATGGCTTTAACCTGCCAGAGGGGAGATTGAGATGAGCTCTGAGGCAGAAGCTCTTCCCTGTGAGGGTGCTGAGGCGCTGGTACAGGGTGCCCAGAGAAGCTGTGAATGCAACTTTAAGGTTGCTTCCACCCAAAACCATTCTGTGACTATATATGAATATTATCTAAATGAATGTAATACTTGAAATGTGGCACATGTGCATATTTAGAATCATATTTTTGTTAAAGTTCTACCTGATTGTGCTCAATATAGTTACTGGTATCAGGCTGACTTTTTTTTTCTTGAATGCTTGTAACTTGCTTTCTATTTTAATATTTATTTTTCTGAATTAGTTCTGAGCTGATACTGTAAATGAAATGGAAATAATATTGTTCTGTATGCAATTTTTCATGGCTCTCTGGTTAGTAGTTCCTTTCAGTCTTTCTCTGCTTTCAGGCTGCACATTTTCAGTGAACATCCCTTACATGATTGATTGTAATAGAATTGATACATTCTATCTGTTCCATTCCTAATTTAATAGCCCAATGAGTTTGACACAGATTCCTCAGTGAAGTCATAATGGATATATTATATGGAGGTACCATGTTTTTTACAGAAGGGAAAACAAATTTCTGGAGGTCTGAATAGTCAGTGTGCATCTGCCTCAAGTTTTTCTGAATCCTTCAGAAAACAGAATCAAACTGATGTCCCTACACACTTGGTTTGTTTTTCTTCAGTCTTGCCCAGTGTGCACAGAGCAGATCTCTACTCCAGTCATTGTCCCTTGCATCTCCCTGTTTAAGAGATTTGAAATGATAATAAAGAGCCAATTATAAGTAGTACTACTCACTTTTAAGTTATTGCTGCATGGGATTGTTTCAAACACATGAGCTGCTGTAAATGTGATTGCTTTTTCTTTCTTTCCCCTCAATCAATAGCATGTACAACCTGCAGAAGTCAGATTGCTCATTTTGGAAAACATCCTTTTAAATCCAGCGTATGACGTTTATCTTCTGGTAGGAACATCGGTTCAGTACAGAGTTCAGACAATCAGGCAAGGGAAGATCACAGGTTGGTTCTGGTCTTTTTTCTTTCTTCGTTTTTTATTAATGCTCTGTGTGAATTTGTAACTGCTGAGAAATTTTTAATTGTGTTTAAACTACTATGTTAATATGTAACATCACATGTTGATCGAGCTGTACAGTTTCTTCTGTCAAAACCCCCCATGTCTTTAAAGGATATGTAAAGGTTTGTCAAGGACATGAAGGTGAGGGTTACAACAGGAGCTACTACTATTGGTTCAGGTGTCCTCGCTTGTTTCACATTGCCTGAGAAACTGTGACTGGCTTTCTTAGTTAAATCAAATTTAGATTAGTAACTTTCCAAAGAGGAATGTTTTCTTGACAAGTGGATTTGCTCTGTTTCTGCACATGTGGGTTAACTGGCTTTATCTCCAGTTCAAAGTGTGGGAGTTTGTAATTAGGTGCTTCCAAGGAGCCTGTGCTGGGAATAACTTGACGTTTTTATTTAGGAATCTAGGTTTTGTGAGGCTGGCAGGTGAGGTCACTGCATCAGCTCATAGTGCACCATGGAGCAGCAGTAGCTCTAGAAAGTAATTTGACTACTTCAGAAGCTGGGCATGAATTGGGTGTCAGGTCTAAAGCGATGGGATGATTGATACTGGTTGGGAATTGCAGCTTCAAAGAAACTGGGTGAGACGCTCATTTTCTGAGTGTAGTGTTGATGTAAGCACAGAAATGTTCTTTCTGTAAGACATCAAATGTACTGATTTAATGTTGCACTAGGCAGCAATAAAATTTCATCAGCAATAATTAGCATCATCAAACACTGTCACACTTGCTGTTATTGTTCCGTGTGTTGTCTTGTTTTATGCGCAGAATTACGGATGCCCTCAGATCAGTATGAGCTGCAGCTACAGAACAACGTGCCGGGTCCTGAGGGAGATGCCTCCTGGCCAGTTGCCAAGTTGGACCAGGCAAGCTCAGTTGTAACTGCACTGCGGCAGGGACAAACTAACCTCATACTGGGGCACAAGAGTATCCTTCCAAGGTGATGTTTTTCTATCCACATCTTTGTGGCAGGAGATAAAACTTCCACCCTTTGTAGCACAACCAGATGAAAATACCCACAACTTTACCAGTGGTCTTGAAAATCAGGGGCACCTAATGGAGCTATAGACAGCAGCAGTGATGTGAATTCCATCTCAACAGAGCTGCCTGGTGCCTTGAAATATTCTAAGAAATTAGGTTGGCAAAAGATCACTTGAATCATGTCTGTTCCCCTCAGTCAATGTGGAAATGTGGTGTGGCTTTATTTATAGATACTCTCTAGTGGCATCTCTCTGAACTGCTCTGTGTCTTTCAGGGTAGTGGGGATAACATTTATTTTCAGTGTACAATTAGCTTTAAATATCCGAAGATGCACAATAAGCCCCAGGAACATGCTGATTTTTAGTTGATTCTTCTCAAAACTTTTCTGTTCCTTTACTAAGACTTCAGGTATTCGCATGCAGGGGGTTTCCAGGCTGCCAAACAGCACTATCTATGTTGTGGATCCCGGGTATTTAGGTTGGTATTGGCTGCAGCTTTTTTGATTGCTCCAGATAATGTCTTGCCTTGTGTTTCTGTTGGTGTTTCTCTATGTGTGTATACATGCTTCCATTTCTTGTATTACTTTTCACAGAAAAGCAACTGTATTCATAGAAGTAGCTCAATGCAAAATAGGTTTAGTAGTAAATATTTATTTTCTTTCGTCTTTGTGCTCAGCAGCTTAAGACAATGAATGTGCATCTTCAGAGTGTGGGCACCAGAAGCAAAATGCTTATATCCATTATGTCAAGAGCCTGATGGCTTGTGCTGTTCAATATTTCCTGTTTTGTAGGATTTACAATTCAACCATGTGACAGATGGGTCCTAGAAACAGGGAGACTTTATGAAATTACAATTGAAGTGTATGATAAATCAAGCAATAAGGTGTATTTATCTGATGTAAGTTGAAATGTTGATATACTTCTGAGTGTCTTTCTCCTAAATCCTGTCTTTCTTTGAAATAAGTTGAGCAGTTTCTGATTTACATTGAGATAGGACATTTGAAAGCATCTTGTTTCTTGTCTTTTCCTTTTTTCCCATTGTTTTATTGTTGTTTTTAAATAAAGTACTCTGGATGATTCATGTGATTCTTTTAGGATGGAGGATTGAGGCTTATTCAGCCTGGAGAGGAGAAGGCTCTGGGGAGACCTTAAAGCAGCTTCCAGTGACTAAAAGGGCTACAAGAAACCTGGAGAGGGGCTTTGGACAAGGGCCTGTAGGGACAGGACAAGGCGAATGACTTGAACCTGCCAGAGGGGTGACTGAGATGAGCTCTTGGGCAGAAGCTCTTCCCTGTGAGAGTGCTGAGGCGCTGGCACAGGGTGCCCAGAGAAGCTGTGGCTGCCCCATCCCTGGCAGTGTTCAAGGCCGGGTTGGACATGGGGGCTTGGAGCAACCTGCTCTAGTGGAAGGTGTCCCTGACCGTGGCAGGGGGTTGTAGCTGGATGAGCTTTAAGGGCCCTTCTAACCCAAACCAGGCTGGGATTATGTGATTCTATGTGAAGATGCCCATTGGCATTTAAGTGCTGTAGGAAAACTGGAAGTAGTAGGACAGTGCGCTACAAACATGTAACACAGGCATTGCACTGGAAACTGCAAACCAGTGTCACTGCTGGGAGCAGTACTACATCTCATCAGTCCCTCCAACCGATTGTCATGTCTAGAAGTAGTCTTTCCTATTAAAGAATGAGGCATAAGGTAGTCTTACAACACTTGTGAGGAAGTACCTCTTTCAGCTGATCATGGGAAGAGCTTTGGTGATTAGCATTAAAACACTTCACTATTTGGTAGCTCAATAAGAGGAATTCTTGGTACCAGTTAGCAAATAGACAGTGGTCTTAAAAAAAAATAAAAATCAACAACCCCCTCCCCCCAATTTAAATAGCTTATTTGCAAGCAGAAAAGCTTCATTAAATTAGTGCTTTTCAGAATATCAGATTTCTGGGAATGTTACTTTATTTGCACTTTTTTGCTTCCTGAGATACAGAACTGAGTTCCAGCTACTGGGGCAGTACATTTGCACATTCCTCCCCTTTTGTTGTTCTTAAGAATGCCAAAATTAAGTAATTATTGCAAAATATGGATTATTTGATGGTAAAAATACTGGTACTTTTAATGTTAAATTACATGTTGCTGATAATTTAAATAAGTAAATGTTTTCTGTGGAGTTAATGTCTAAAATATGTAATCTTGTTGAATGACTGAAACATGCGTAGGGAAAAATTCTTACTCAGCTTCAGATAAATTTCTTTGAACTCTGTTATTAAACAATTGTTCTCAGTGATGTGTTGCTGATATGTTTCTGGCTGGTTTTACAACTTTAATGTCAGTTACCTGGGGTAATATCTTTTGAATGTTCTTGTTTTAGAATATCAGAATTAATGCAGAGCTGCCCAAAGAATATTTTGAAGTGCTGAAGTTGTCTCTGAATGGATCATATCATTATGTGAAAGCAATAAACGAGGGTCAGACTGTTCTTGATGCTGCACTGACATCGGTAGTGGATCAGGTATGTTTTTATAATAACTATTCTGCTTTACTAGGTAGGCCTAAATATAAGCTACTTGTGCAATAGTGACTTAATAGTGACATAGTAAGAGGAAACCTGGGAATTACATCGGTCTAAGTTGTCTTCGTTTAAACAGAACCAAATTCTAAAATCCTTACTTCAGGAAAACTGCCAATTAAGTCAACAGAGGATTTGCCTAAATAAAGACACTGGGATTCTTCTACAGATCATGCGGCAAATACAGTGGTGCACAGCACTGATTTGTTTTTTCATAGCAGATGCTAATGTGGGCACATCTCGTTTCCTTGTGCCGGTGCAAAGCTCCTCTCACAGTCTCTGAGTGAATTTTACAAGTTATTGTGGTAGGATCATCAGTGTCATACCCTGGCCTTGTTCTGCATTCACTTACATTTGGAAAGTTTTCTATCATTTGGTAAGTGATGTTAAATGCTGGAATGAAGATCTGCCAAATATATCAGCCTGAAAATTAATGTTTGTTAACTTTGTGCTAGTTGGGCAGGCTGCTGAATGTATGGCTAACCAGGGCACGTGCTGTGCAAGTGATGGGCTTTGCTTGAAACTTGGAAAAGTTCACCACTTCAACCCGTTTGCTGTGAAATCGCTTTAGTGATTCCTTGAGTAGGATTTAGTAGATCCTTGTATCTGACAAGCCATGCTCAGTCTCTGTGTCACAGAGGTACTCTTGGATGAGGTCTGCGGCAGCTGTGAAAGTTTTCCTTCAGAGCTCCAGTAAGAAACGGCGTGTTGTGCCAGAGGGTTATGGCGTTACAATGCAGCAAAGTGGTAAAGGCCAGTGTTTAGGCATGGGCTGAGGAATGGGTCTGTTAGACTGAAGTTTGTCTCCGTCTCCTGCATCGTGAAATGAGCAAAGAGGAAATGCAGGTGTGGCGTTACCGAATTAGTTCCCCAGACAGGGT